TGGTTTGTCTTTACTCTGTTTTGCGTTTGACTTGTAAGATATTTGCTTCAAAACGAAATGAGGCATATATATATATATATATATATATATATATATATATATATATATATATATATATATATATATATATATATATGTGTGTGTGTGTGTGTGTGTGTGTTGTTTTGTGTTACTGGTGGTTATTCTTGGAAAGCGGACATTGCTGAAATTTTGTAATACCATCGAAAAAAATCATTTTTGTCGTTGTCAGGTTTGAATAGAAATACCACATTTCTATGAATGCTAGTCAAACAAAATTTGACTTTGATTAAAGTATCTAACCATCTTTAATAATATTATTTCACAATATGAAAATATTACAATTCGTCATAGTGTTTGTTTTCTTTTTCAGGCAGTGCTGATTGGGCGACGTTAAATCCTGAATTATTTCTTATACGTTTTCATATTTATGAAACACTAACATTGATTTCCCCATGGAAAAAAAGATGAAAAGCATATTGTAGTTTGATTATTGTCGCTTTAAATAGTGACTATAAAATATATTACACTGTTGCCACCTTTTCAACAAATACCCTGTGACAACGTTGTAACTTTGAAGAGCTAAATAAATGTTATCAGGCTGAGCAACAGTTGTATAGATTTTATTCTTTAACTATGAATCTAGGAATGTCATCTCTGGAGACGGTCTAAAATAATGATGTTCGATCTTGCAATTAATATTTATTAGGTACATGATGTCCTTGATGCAATTAATATTTATTAGGTACATGCTGTCCTTGATGCAATTAATATTTATTAGGTATATATCGTCCTTGATGCAATTAATATTTATTAGGTATATGTCGTCCTTGATGCAATTAATATTTATTAGGTATGTGTCGTCCTTGATGCAATAATTATTTATTAGGTATATGTCGTCCTTGATGCAATTAATATTTATTAGGTATATGTCGTCCTTGATGTTCTATCTGATACGATTATACAAGATACCTTTGCCTGACAGAAAGAATGTTTCGTATCTGCGATAGTATTATATTTCAGTCAAAATGTTTATTCTCTTCTGAGAACCTTTGAACCAATGCAAGAGTTTGTTTGCACATTAAATGATTACAATGAGTGAAATAATTCTTTGCAAGGTAAAATATTGCATTCAACATATCTCGTAGACAAAAATTATAAATATTGAGTTAAACACACAAAAGAATGCTGAAATGATGACCTAAAAGAAACACGTACAGAATTATGCACATTTTTTGATGAAGAAACACATACATAAATATGCATATTTGTTGATGATTGATAAAATAAAACATTATTGCTATCGCATGAACCAGGTGAGCTTTGTACGACTTAGTCTGTGTTATCTTTTCAGCAGCAATAGGAGTAAATACTGGACGATAAATAACTGTCAGCTTCGCATTTGCAAGAACCTATATAAATTGTTTGAGGCTGATGAAGAAATAGTTTAAAATGACAGAAGCATAGAATAATATTAGCAAACAACCACATAGTTTACCTAAATCAATGCATGAAGACCAATAGTTATAAAATACATATAATGGATCAATTTACTTCACATAACTCGACCAAGAAAATTCAATACCGAGCGCTCATTTTACCCTGAAATCAAAACAAAAAGTTAATCTGAATATTGGAACTCCTATTACCGTATGTTCTATGTGTACTAGTGTTTTGAGTATTGTAACATATTCAATTCAAGATGATCAATTATTTTCTGAATACCGTAATAATAATTTTGTGATAGAAACAATAATCGCTGTTCCATCTTGTTTTCACCGGCAAAGTGAATCCTTTGATTAGTACATCTGTAACACTTTTATTAAATCATAGCATGGGAGAACCATTTGTCAATGCAGTATATCCATTATATGTTATTATGCATTATATGTTGTATTTTTTTGTTAAGATCAGTCAATGCTATTATTGAGAACAGGTCTTATCACCGATCATATGTACAAAACGAACTTAGTTCGTTGATAAGTTGTATTTGCTGTATATCTTTAATAACAACATCTTTTGGTTGATTTTGTGCAATATGATGGTGTTGAAGGACTCATTTCTAAATTGCAGACATTGATGAAAGTTTGAGGGAAAGTGTTCCCCTAAATTATTTATCAAAATATTTGCAGAAGTCTGTTTACCACGAATAAAGGTTCATACGGTCGCATCACTGGTCAGCCGTCCCACACTCTGGTTGGCATTTTCAACAATAAGAGCATCATGTTTAGATTTCATCAATTATGTGTAATAGCAAATCTATCTTAAACGCAAAAATATTTTTTAAAAGAATAGATTCTGATGTTTTAATATCGATAGCTAAAGGATCTCATATGAATCCCAACAGATACATCTGCGTATAATACTCGTCGAAATTCGTTTCGTTAAGATGAGCTTTATGCAATCGATCCTCATATTTAAAACAACATATTATATCTCCATGTTCTACTTTTCAATTTTCAAATGTGATCATAGAAAATTACAAGGTGGCCTGTGCTAGCTTTATTAATAGTTTGGCTGGTACGCTCAGTGAAATCCAGTCTGTAGACAAATCTTGTCAAATACTCAACATCCGTGACTAGCTTCTACGTGATTTACATCCCAAAATGTCAACGAGACGTTATACGTCCGCCACCTGCCTTTTATAAAGTAATAAATCTGTTAACAAGTAGGAATATATTTATACTGATTTTGCAGATTCATGCTGACTTGTCCATGTCAGCCAATTATATGTAAGTGTAACACAGTTTTGTTCGAGGCAATCAACCTTTCTCGGAGGGTTCCTAATGACAGCTTAATCGCAAAGAAACTTTAGACACTCCAAATGTATGATATACAGTTTTATTAGTGATCTGTATTTCTTTTACCAGGATCATAGATTGAAGCGTTATAGACACGTCTTCTTCTGTTAAGATCTCCTTGGGAAGTTGTTTACTATGACAACGGATGAAAATAGCATCAGAAGATTCTTTTGCGAGAGTAACAAATGAGAATGGTTATGTGCTTCCAATATCCTTCAATAGCAACACAAACCTTTACTCTGGAACTGAGTCAGCTAGTATAGGCATCAACGATATCATTTTCGTCAACTCCATTTTTCTACCTTCATCAAAATCATCAGCATGCACAATTGCGCCCTTCCTATTAGACTTTCTGTGTAAGAAATTGAGTATTTGGCTCCCAAAGTCGCTTTACAGAATCCACATATATGATTGCTCGGCTTTGCACATGCAGAAAAAAATGTTAGTCTTTAACGTCCTGCACGACGCAACGCGAATCGGTATTTGTAAGTTTTCATTAGCGTTAGTATATAATTAGTATCTAAAAGGCATTCTAGAGGGTTGTAGCTCTACTAAAGCAGCCTATGATACTGACGTACAATATATTTATTATGAATATCAATGGCAAGATCTACTAAAGCAGCCTGTGATACTGACGTACAATATATTTATTATGCATATCAATGGCAATATCTACTAAAGCAGCCTGTGATACTGACGTACAATATATTTATTATGAATATCAATGGCAAGATCTACTAAAGCAGCCTGTGATACTGACGTACAATATATTTATTATGAATATCAATGGCAAGAGCCATCCTTGTGCAGTATCATACACGGGTCTGTATATCTCGCACATGCAATCCTTCTTTTCATTCCGATATTCAGCCGGGTAATTATATTAACGGAGATCTCGGACAATTATCGTTGAATGTTATTCAAACAAATAAATCAACCATACACACAAATTATGTATGAATGTATGTATGTATGTATGTATGTATGTATGTATGTATGTATGTATGTATGTATGTATGTATGTATGTATGTATGTATGTATGTATGTATGTATGTATGTATGTACGTACGTACGTACGTATGTATGTATGTATGTATGTATGTATGTATGTATGTATGTATGTATGTATGTATGTATGTATGTATGTATGTATGTATGTATGTGTGATTCAGTCAGATAGGATTTTGCCATCTAGACCCAGTCCACAACCATAATCCGCACTCCATTATGCGTTTACAATCATAGAAATAGTTATAGTTTTGAAGACGTTTTGTGTGTGTGTGTGTGTGTGTGTGTGTGTGAGAGAGAGAGAGAGAGAGAGAGAGAGAGAGAGAGAGAGAGAGAGAGAGAGATTCAGTCAGATAAGATTTTGACATCCAGACCCAGTACACAGCCATAATCTGCACTCCATTATGCGTTTACAATCATAGAAATAGTTCTGGTTTTGCAGAAGTTGTGAAACAGCTTCAATGATTCCTCCAACTAGGGACAGCATTGTTGCTTTAGACGGAGGTGTGATTGGCTGTTGATGCGTAATCGCTTTTGATGGAGTTAATCTTCGTAGTCAATCTCGTAACGATTATATTGCTTGATATGCTGTCATCAACTTGAATTGCAAACTGGGAACTGTTGTTTTCAGCATGTGTGGTAGGAATCTGAATAATCGTTCATGACTAGATATAATTATAGCACTAGTCTCTCAAGTCCATGTACGACTGTCATTGCATTATATTGTTAGGTCCATCTCTATTGTACAGGTGAATCCTTAAGGTCAAACCGGGACGATCTAAGGCGTGACTCCCTTACTGGTCACAAGAGCAAAATGAACACTAGGGCGAATTTGTAGAGACCCCGAAGAATACAACTTGCGATACGATGCGTGATATACCTGACGTGTATGCTTAGAAAATTACACTGACGGCTTTTAAAGGTCACTCATTTTCTATTTGGCGGCATAGTAAATTGTGGTATTCATGGGAATATCAGGGTTCACTAACGATTTTCATCTTTACAAATTGAAGCCCTTTTGTTACAATTGACAAATAAGTGGGTGGTTTTAGCGCTGGAAGATTCTTAATTGATTTTGCCTTTTATTACAACACCAACTTCCTCACCTATTTCTTCCCTGTCACATCTTTTTGTATCTAAACTTTCCTAAAATTTCTCAATCGTTCCTAACCGTTTTGGTGGCCTAGTGGTTAGAGCATCCTCCTCTGATGCGGGAGGTCGTGGGTTTTATCCCCGGTCGAATCATACCAAAGACTTACAAAGATGGTACTAACAGCTGCCTCGCTTGACGCTCAGCATTAAGATGTTAGTGTTAGGACTGGTCGGCCTGGTTTCAAGATAATGTGACTGGGTGGAACATCATGCTACATGTTTGCTGCATGATGCCTCAGTGCTAGACATCACTATAAACTGCCGCACTGCAGACATCGTAGCGATATGACTGAAAAATAAAACTACGTTAAAAATCATAGACACCACACCTAATAAGTGTCTGCTAGTCTCTGTGGTTGCCTTGGTGGCTTTCTTAAAGTTATAGGTCCTTTTGCTATCTTAAGTTATGTATACGATCCCTAAGGTGCTCTAATGGTAGCTGCCAGCAGTTCTAATGTTTCTTTACAGGCTTTTTTAATATCATCAGCACTTAGTGGTATTGTCTGCAATCTCTATTCTTGGTTAATTCAGCGGTACAAAGTTTTATTTAAATCATATGTTGCCATACAAGTCTTCCAGTGCGGATTGCTGCGCCTGAGGCATATCTTTCAAACGCTCTCCACGAGCCACAATGTGCCAGTCAATTAGAAGTGACAGTTCATCGTAAGCAGCTTTGCAGCGTTATTCTTCATATGCAGCGATAACGTTGCTTGCATATATGGTGTTGTTTGCTTGTTAATGTTTAAACAAAACATCGTGTCCAGACTAGAACCATAGGTTACATGAAGAACAATACCGTTCATGTCTGTCTCGAGGAAACTATACCCATGATAACATATTTTGAACACTCGTCATTGGAACAATCGGCAGCACATCAAATCCAACTAACTTCTTGCAGAGTCACGGCCTTTATGCACATGCGGTTATCGTTGTGATACATATCTCAAATTTGAGTGTTTTGTGTTAGTGCAAGGAAATATTATCTGAGTTTTCTCTTATATTTCAAGTATCACATCATCCTAATTAAGATTATTCACGATCAGTTCAGATCGTCAATGTCTTAGCTTCTTGAAGAACAAAGTCCTTCCGTAATTGATTTTCACGGTGCAATCGCTTACAAATATTGTCCACGTTAACCATCGCATATTCCCATTTAACAACAGTTGAGTTTTCTAGGACCTAACTAGGTCAATAATCAACATGTTGACTGAGTTGGAACACTTGTATACTTATAGTGTGGTGGTATGGTTGTCGCATTACAGACCTTGAAAATGGACTTTGTTGTCTTGCATGATCATATGTTGAATATCACTTGTTCTATCACTCTCTCTTGTCTCCATATTGTGATCCTGCACGAAATTACATACCGAAACATTCAACTTGATTTATAACATGTAGTGACGGAGCCTCCATCACTAAAAATTTAGTTGGATGCGAAGAAAACAAGTTTGTGTTTATTAGAAAAGTCGGATGCATATCACTGTTGCCATGAAAAAAAATCCCACACTCTATACTTAGTTGTATACATCAAGTGAAAAACATATATCCGGATACAGTGATATTAAGAAGAACCTCATAAGCTCGTTGATGCTGATTGTCACTTACATGTTATCCAATTACAAATTATCAAGTGATATACAGATGCGTGAACACTACGATATCCATACACCAATAACCTGAATGTGATGAATCCAACACTCGAAGAAAGAACAACAGATAAATAATGGATAATTTAAAATAATTTTTGTAAACTAAGATTGCTCTGGTTCTAGTGACAAAGCACTTTATATGGTGGACAAAATTCATTGGTAGGAAGAAAAACTGCAAACTGCAGTATAATATCTATGAATGAGAAAAGCATATCAGCATTGTCTAAAATTTGTTACGTCATGACATGAGAAGGAAGAAATTGCCCTTGAAAAGGTTACTCGCTTGATTGCTTGAGAATATTTGGCCAAAACTCCGCATCAACGCTAATGGGAACAAGCACTTGATAACAAGTATAGATGCAACTTTCAGATACAGCGAAGACGAACGGTTCAAATCCATAGATACAGCGAGTGTCGCAGACGCTCTTAAATGTACAAGTACAGGTTCATGTTGGAAGTGTTAAGTCTGACACAGCTTGAATATTGACTACCGACGTTTGTGTGTTTGCAGGTGAATTTTGTTTTGCGAAACTCCGGACATTGCCTCCATCTCTTCCACTTACCATTGTGCATACATTTCTCATACTTACCTGAAGTTTCGATCATTTTCAGTATTTGATAATGAGGAAGGCATTGGTGTAATTAATGTATCGTTGGTGATATTCTAAGCACAAAATTATTTCATTAATTACTTTATTGTCATCAAAGCCGAATTCCCTGATCATTGAATTATATTCACTGCGTGAATATATTTCTTTCAAACTATTACGCAAAGACGTCGGACATTTTTTTGTCAACTGCTTGATCGAGTTTATGCCGTTGTTATTTCAATAAAACAACCAACTCGATGAATTTGTCAAGATTTTCTAAATGTAATATTCCAACATCATGCTTCCATCCTTTGAACCACTTTGATAAATCCGTCTGACAAACGTAAGCGAAATAGAAATTTAAAATTTTCTGTGAAGTTGAAAAAAAAAACCGCCATTGAACGGTCATTATGATTCCCACTTTCTATGCGCTCGTAAATCCTTTCACATTCATTATAACTAATTCTCACACAAGGTAATAAAAGAAAAATAATTTGTGTATGGCAGTCATGATAACAAGCCCATTTCGCTCTTGTTCTTAGACGGACACTAAAAGAATCTCAGCAAAATAAATTGATCGCAGCTGGAAAACAATCGATGAAAATGTTTTCTCTTGACTGTGGCAGCTGGTATAGAAATTTTTTATGGAAGCAAAAGATAAGACTGAAATCAAGTTGGTTACTTATTCCATATCCCTTATTCCTGATTCAGTAAGGAATAAGTAACCATTTGCTTATTCCCGATTCATATATTTTCACATATATTTAAATACTTATTCCCTATTCACATCAAGTTGTTTTTGTATTCATTATTCCTAAGGCAGTATTTAATTGGTTACCACCCAATTAATCCAGTTGAAAGCTCTTTAGGGCATGCGTTGGTGTAAATTTGACCTGATTGGAGAAATGCGAGTGATATATAAACTGAAAATAGGCAGATCAAAAGCTATATGTATGACTGGTTTAGGATATTAATAGGAATGCTTGTTTAGTGATTTGATATAGGAGTAATAAGTTGTGTTAGCAATTTAAGTTGTGTCTTGTGATGGATCACGTTAAGTATTCGTATTCGGGTTGTAAAATCTCACTAGTGTCTCAAGTAAAAGAAACCACAAAAAACGTACAAGTGTGAAATTTAGATTTCTCTTTTGTAGTCTTGTCGTTAGTGGATAATTATGTGGTGTATTTACGAGTTTATGAAGCCTTCAGCTCACTTCGAATATTGTCCTGAATTCCTTGGAACTGGTGAACGTAGCACACTTGTAACCGATTTCCACAAATTAGGGTTCCATAAAGGGAAGTGGAGGCCGGAAAAGCACATTGCGTTAGAAGATTATATCTTACTCCTACAGTTTGGTCGTTAAGTATCACCTTTAAAGAGATTTGACAACGACCCTTCATGACATGTAATCACTAGAGGTATATTGTAGTTACCAAAGAAGTCCTCGGAAATTTTGTGGAGCCTATTTCGAGAAATAAGTTAGATCAGGGGTCTCCAAACTACGGCTCGCGAGGCCCTCTCATCCGGCCCGTGGAGATATTTTTGTCTACGGAAAAAATTACGGACATTTACGTGTATCCTGCCAAGATCAGCCGCCGCTTACGTGGACGTTATGTTTTTACCGAATTAAAATAAAGGCGCGCAGTAGTGCGTTATGTTTTCCAACCGATCACTACATTGCAAACCTTATTCGCTGCTTACTTTTTCTACTTCCGTTCACAGTCAATGAGATGATATAACGCCATCTAGTGGCGAAGTTTTTAAATGGTTTGCTGCTTGTTCAAGACTTGATTATTTTCATCACAGTTTGCCAGTTGCGGTTGACTGCTGCGATGAGGAGGTGAAGGTGTAAGTTGGCGTCTGATTGCGAAACATGTTGCACTCTATTTTATTTAGTGATAATTTCCTTCGCATACTTACTTATCAGAGTGTTTAAAGTATTGGGAATGTCTTTAGTTTAGTAAGAATTTTTCGAATATTCTGAAGAGGAAACATTAAAAGCAACAATCTCTCTACCATAAGTGGATATATTAGCACACTATATTCAGGTAAGTTTAACTTAAGAAATCATAAGAATTTTTAAAAATTGTTTCGGGTCATTTGCAGCTATAATTGCGACGAAATTAGTTCGCATAATCAGGTTTTTGGAGTGATATTGTGTGCAAGATACTGTCAGTTTCACTATTTATTCATGTTGAATTCACTTTATTTTAGTGCCCAGCGATGGCCGAGAAGAGGAAAAGAAAAATAGACGATGAGTGTCGGCAATTTTAAGAAGAATGGAGTTTGAAATACTTCTTCATCAAATCCGGCGAGAAAGCATTGTGTGTGATTTGCAACGAAACCGTGGCTGTGATGAAAGAATATAATCTGCGCCGTCATCATCAAAGCAAACATCAGGAGAAATATGCACAGTTGGAGGGCAAAGTCCGTGCCGAAATATTTTCTAAATTACAAAATCAACTCACATCTTAGAGGACATTGTTCAGTAAATCCTCAAATGAAAATGAATCCTTAACTAAGCCAGTTATAAAGTTGCCTACATCCTGGCTAAAAGTGGCAAACCATTTACAGATGGTGAAGTAGTGAAGGAATGTTTGTTGGAGGTGGCTGAGGAACTTTGCCCAGAAAAGTCAAAACAATTTGAAAAAGTAGCTTTGGGTGCAAATACCATTGCCCGCCGTGTTGCAGACATGGGTGAAAAAATTGTGACTCAAATAGCGAAACATGCAAGCAAGTTTCGCCATTTTTTTAATTGCAATGGATGAATCGCTGGACAGCTGTTCCACCTCTCCACTGCTTGTGTTCATTAGAGGTGTGGTTGAAGACATGAACATGACACAAGAGCTGACTTGCCTACATAGC